AATAACCTAGTAATTAAACTCCAAAACTTCACAAATAATTGCCAGCAAGCAATTACCATTCAATTAAAGAGTAATTACATGGTTATTTGTGCCCTGTAAAATAAAGCATTACTGAAATCAGTAATGCAATCAATATTTTAGCAGAAACAGGATGCTGCAGTGATGGACCTTTCAACCTGTGCTGATTAAATTGTCATCCAAATAACAGTTTCCTAGTTAAATCACCACATGTTTATTTGTCTTGATTAATATGCAAATTCACTTTTGATTCTAGTAAATCTCCTATATTTAAAAGCACAAAAGTAAAGTGTTATCATACATCAACAGTGATGTGCTGTATGTTTCCGCTGATTAATTACATTTTACAAAGTGTTGATGAGTTTGTGGATTTTATAAAATACAGTTGTCTATAATGAGTGTAAAATAGAGTTATAAAAGATGGAGCTGATCAGTAATTTTAACAAAATCACAAAAATAGCCTTATTCTATGTTTTGATTCAAATGAAAAATCCTTGGGATGTCTAGGGAATACGCAAAAGTTCGAGAGGAAAAATAATAAAATTAACTCGCAACAGGAGTGGAAAATAAAGAAAACAGACATTAATGAATGATTTCTCCACATTTTACTATATAAAATTTAACCATCAAATATACCAAATATACTGCTTTAGTCTCTGACAAATTTAATTCCAAACAAAATAAAAAAATGAATAACATTCAGATTACTTAATTTATCTCTTTCAGAGTTAGTGATTTGGCGGGGGGAGGGGGGGATGACAGTAATGACTGTATAACCATAGTCTAAACACTGGTAAAAACTCAAAACTTCCAGTTGTCTTCACTTTCAAGAATTGATGATCCAAAGGGCTTTTGGTTTTGTTTTTGAGAGATACTAATAGAATTTTAATCAGTATAGACTTTGAGCCGGCCAATTTCTTTGCATTTATTTAGTAAAAAGAATAAGATTACTAAATTTATTAATGAGAAATAGTATTGTACTTCTGTTTTAGTCTCCGTGGTCTTCACTTGACCAGAACTGATATACCTTAAGATGTTTTCAAGAGATATCTATAAAGTAGCAGTTTCTAACTGAAGTAACATCTAATTTAGAATTGAGTCATTTTCCATTCACAAAGACTTATTGATGACAAATATGAAATTTATGTAGAGATTTTTGAATCTCAGAGACATTTAAAATTGTTTGAAGCTGGCTGTTCCTGTTTATGCCTCCTTTGTTATCAATGGGGAAAAGATTTTTCTACACTTCTCAAATATATGACTTTCTTGAATGAGAGAAAGGAAAAGGTGGAGAAGAAAATATAACAAAAGAGTAGGGTGACAAAAGATTAGGAGAAAGAATATTAAATAAAGTTAATATGTATATGGTAATACTTATCAGAAATGATGTCTTACTCTCCCCAAACGAGAATTATTCTTGCCTTATGATTTCTGCTCAAGGCATGTATTAGCAATTTTTTCTGAACTGCGAAGGTTAGATACATTTTAAATGTGAAATGTGTTGAAATTCTAGACTTTGTAAGATGTTACGAAGCATACTAACTACTGGAAGTGTTGGGATGGACCAATGAGATTTCATTGTTTGGTGATTCCAGCTCTAGCCCTGACAGCAGCATATTCACAACATAAAGTAAATCCCATAAAAATTTTGAATCTACTAATGTTTTTGTTTCCTTTGTATATATCTTTTTTAAAAATAAGATTTAGAGTAAACATTTGTGTCCTGTCTCTATGAAATTTCTGGTTTTATGTTTAAACAAAAAAGCCAGAAAATTTGTTTTTAGCCAAAACAAGATTGGAAGTGCTTGGATTCAGATATGCTGCCATGGTGCTTGCTGTGAGTTCTGATGTCCTCCCGAGCAAAAGATCTTGTTTCATGATAGGTGATGTGGTCTCTAGTCCTCTCCAGGCAATTTAGCTGGAAGTGCGAGGTATCTGCTGCAAACTTGGCATACCAGCGTGCTGGGGGCTCTTTGCTTCATTTCCTTATTTCAGAACTAGACATCCAGCATTAATGGTGTTAACATGTAAAATACAGAACAGTATTAAAGACCCAAAGGGTTCTTTCGTAGGTTGTTGTGGTTTAACCCAGCAGGCAGCTAAAACAACCACACAGCCATTTGCTCACTCTCCCCCCTGCCAAGTGGGATGGGATAGAGAATTGAGGAGGGGAAAAAGGCAAAACTCATGAGTTGCGATAAAGACAGTTTAATATGACAGAAAAGGAAGATAATAGTAACGATAAAAGAATATACAAAACAAGTGATGCACAGCACAGTCACTCACCACCCACAGACCACCAATGCCCAGCTAGTTCCCAAGCTGTGGTCTAAACCCTTGGCAGTTTCCCCAAGTTCTATACTGAGTATGAGGTCATATGGTATGGAATATCCCTTTGGCCAGTTGGGTCAGCTGTCCTGGCTGTGTCCCCTCCCAGCTCCTTGTGCACCCCCAGCCTTCTTGCTGGCAGGGCAGGATGAGAAGCTGAAAAGTCCTTGACTTGGTGTAAACATTGCCTGGCAACAACCAAAACATCCGTGTGTTATCAACAGTATTCTCATCCTAAATCCAAAACACAACACTATACCCACTACTAGCGAGAAAATTAACTCTATCCCAGCCGAAACCAGGACACAGGTGTTGTATGAATGACAGTTAGTCAGCTGTAAGCAGCATCCAGCCTTGAGTTTTTCATTTAAAAAAGCTAACATAAAATTATAGTCAAAGAACTTTAATTTTACTTGAAGAAGTTCAGCTGGGAACAATTCCATTCAAATTATTATGGCTACGGCTGTATAAGACCAGAATCTGGCCCCTAGTAGTTACTGTTTTATAGTAACATGCACTAAAAGGGAGTGAGTAGCTTAGAAGTACGCTCTTTTTTTTTTTTTCTTCAGAGTCTATCAAACCCCTTCCCTAAAAGAACCACAATCCAGACAAAACCCAGAGAAAATAGTGCTGTATTTTCCCAGTGGTGCTACCTTACTTTCATAAGTAGGCAGGATATAAATGCAGTCAGCAGGACTCTGGAAGACAGCTGAATAAGTTTTGGTGTGAACTTCTCTTTCCTCATCTCCTAACACTTTTTTTAAATCCTGGGCATTCTGTCAGTGCATAACCATAGATTGGAGAGTTTCACTTCTGCTTGTAGTAGATGCTGCGAAACACCTTAAGATATTATCTGGTAAACCTGTGGGCTATGAGTTGTCTTCCTTGGAGTCAACAGAGTCATCAAAATAATCTGTTGTCTGTGCATAAGTAGGAATGAAACTGCATTTTCTCCCCCCCCGCCTTCTTCTGAAAACCCAAATCATAAATAAAATGTCTCCATAAAATCTTTTAAAACTGTTTAATTTTTTAAATGTTTTTCTTAGATTAATGTCAACACATGGAGTTTTATGCAAAAGATTTGTTAGTATTTGAGCTTGAGAAGAGAATGTTTTGTAGCTTGTTGATTGAGCTCTTCTGCTGGAGAAAGCTGCTAATTTTAGATGTTTTGTAATTTTTTTCAGAGACAGTAAGTGCCAGCTAAGCACTTACACGTGTGTGTGTATAAGCACAAACTTCTGGAAATCAAAAGATCAACAATTCTTTTTTGTTTAAACCCCCGACACACCAGCCTAATACTGTCTGTTACAGTAGATAATTTCAGCAGGTTATTTTAATAGAGAATGCATGTGTGCATCTAACTTCCTGTGAAACTTAAATACTCTTATTTTAGGTTTACTTTATTATAGCCCACTCAATCTAGGCTCTTGTAGTAGGCTTCACTACATAGCCATCATAGTGTGATAAACAACCTAAAGCATAAAAAAGAAAAACGGAAAAAAGTACTGAATAAAATGAAATACAAAATAGACAAACCTGAAGCTAAAAGAGGGGGGAGTAGTTTTATAGAGATAAAATAATAAACCAAAAAAATGATTTTGTGCTACTTTGATGTACAGTAAAACAAAATAACACTAGCACACTGTGAAAAATGAGCAGGTTAATGGTACCTCTGTGTAGTGTTGCTGGAAGTTGTCTTCATTTAAACGCAGAGTTTGTCTTACATTGATGGAGGGCTTTGCCACTGTAAGTTGATAGAGTGGGGTTTAACTTAAATTTCTTCATGAACTAGAAGTCATTTTCGAAATGCTTTCTATTCAAACCTCATTCATTGTTGCAGCTTAGTTATTTTATACAATGTTTCACTATATTTTGTCAAAAGCTCTATTATTCAACAAAGTAGAATTTGTTTTGACCAGAAAGAAGCAGCAATACTTTTCCAAAGATGAGGATGTTGCATTTTTATTAGCTGGCTTGGGGAAGAGTTGATTCAAATGGTTTTTTGGTCTGTAAATCTCTCCGTTATAATGGCAGCTGCATAGGATGATTTCATGTTGATATAAGGCATAAATATTGTAGTTGAAAACAATAGTTAAATGTAATAAGTCTGTAAGCAGACCTTTTGGATTAAAAACTGCAATCATAATTTGTAAGTTGGTCGAGGGATGGTGAGATTTTTGAGAAGGTGGGTTGCCTTCTGTAAAGCATCTAGTTGCATTTCCAAGACTTTACGCGTGAGTTGCACATGCATGTGAATTTCTTGAGCTCCATTTTACAGACAGTAATATTAAGAAAAAGATATTAGCAAAATGGTGGTACTATAGAGCTAGAAAAACAGATTGCTTTCTTTTTGGTCATGTGGTGCAGATTAAAAAAAATAATAATCTTAGCTTTCTAGCCATTTATGTGACTTTGAGCTCATGATTGTGTTAACCGTAGTTGCTGTTTGGCAGTTTATTGTTAGTTCATTTGAAACCTGTACAGTTCTTGTATGTTTAATAAACTTATTTTTCTTTTTCCTAGGCAAGAATTTCTAATATATTTTTATGTATCATTGATGGTTCATGTATTTTATACAAATCAATATCATGCGTAGTAAGCAAATATTTCAAAAAGAAAATGTATTTTCATTTATCCTCTTATTTCATCAGCTCACGACCAGGAAGACCCCCCAAGCGTTCCCTAGGAGTTGCGATACAAGAAAATGCACGTCTTCTGCCCCATGGAGTTCCAGGCCTGTTATCACCAGGACTTATCTCTCCGACAGGTAATAAAATCCATCAGATGATCAGCCTCATCTCTTCATACTGCACAGCAGTTAAAATAAACTAATATTGATCTAACTGCCTTGTCCTTCAGGGCTTTTTCAAGCTTTACCAGAGGTTACGTTATTGGATTTTTTGAGTGTTCATGAGAACTCTGTTTTGTTGCTGCAGTGACTGAAATCTAATGGATTTGTAATTTAGTTCTTTATTAATTGTAATTTCCTTACAGGAAATTCCATTAAATGTGTTATTTTAGTAAATACAAAAAACCTGAGAAAATGAACTATTGTCTCAGAGAGCCCTGTAGCATGCATTTCTTCCTTTCAGATGCATGTGTATTTTAGTTCTCATGGGATATGAACAGCGTGGCTAATGCGTATTGTATTGTAACATCATTAATGTATGCTGGGAAGATAGAGAAATGCTTGTACGAATTATAGAAGAAACAATTGAAAAGCAGATAAGTCTGCATTGCCACAGTGGATTGTACTTTAATAATCTTTAATAATAATTTTAATATCATAATATGAAAAAAGGAGCATGAAAATATGTGAAATTATAAACAAGCCCCAAACATAATTTAATGCATAGTATTTTATTTCACTTCATTAATTTATTAATAGAGTTTAAATTAAAACTTGTGCTATCCTGATGAGTGTTTTAATTTTTTATTAATTGATGTGTGCTAACAGTAAGTTTATATTGGTAAGAGAGAGATATTAACAGGCTATATTTATAAAAGTAATTGTTTAAATATTCAACAGGCTTAGCAGTTTTAGGATTACTGTCAAAATCCAGTCTAAATATATTGTATCTCCATAATAACCAAACTTAGTGAAGCGTTTAGCAGAATATGAAGTCGTACAACATCTTACAGGAAAAGCAGAATTAAAAAAAAAAAATTGATAGGACTATAGTGACGTCTGTCTTGTCTTGATCTTGCAGATTGCTCTGCTTGCAGATCCTATTGCTCTGCAACTGAGTGCCTCAGCGGGTCTCAGCGTTCAGGGGAGTAACAAAGCTAAGATCTTTAATTTCTCCTACAACTCAAGTGTCACGAGGACTTCACAGTGAACCAATAACCTTTACCACTGTGAAAGTGGGAATGAACATTCTTACGCAATAGTCACAGTAACCTTAACTGAAGTAGTTAATAAAGTATGAAAGCATTTTGCTAGATCCAGGCACCAAGTTGACTGAGTGCAACTTTGTACTGTTCGTATATGTGACAGGGATCAAGAACTGTGTTTTTATTCTTATGAGCAGTTTATAAATGAGGGGTTTTTTTAGTAGCTCTGTCATGTTCTCAGCTCAGGAATTTAATGGTTTTGGTGTTGTTTATGTTATTACAAATAGACAGGACAGTATACATTGATGTCTTGTCACAAATCCAGAATATTCCATATTATTCTTCTACCCTGTATGTGTTTGCAAATTGGACATCAAATTATGCAGACTACCATATTGCTTTAAACTGGGAAATATATTAGGATGCAGTGTGCTGACTATGCACAGTAATACAGTATCAGACACATTCCGTGTCACAGATATTTTGAGTATCACAGAGTTTTAGTAAAAAAATTTTAAGTTAAATTTCTAGGCTGTTGTAAGTTTTTTGAGTCTGAAGTGATGACTGGGATACATCCCGCTTTATTTAACACACAGACGGTTGCATGAGAAGATTGGCCCCAGGGGGCTGTCTTTCAGCCAAGGCCCAGGGTGGCCGCCTTTCTGACCTTGGGAGCCGCCTATGAAAACCTCTGCATGACCAGGCGCCCAAAGTCACAGACAATGTGCCTCAAGCAGCTGAAAGGGAGTTTTGGGAGCAGCTTGTAGGCGGGAGAAAATACACATTTCCATAGCATCGCAATGTCGTTGAGGGCCCTGGACGAGACGGGTCCCTGCAGATGAAGCAGCCTTGCTACCAGCCTGCTGATGGCCTCTGTAGTCCTGTCACTCAGGAATTAGAGCTTCTGAAGTTCTTGAGTTATTTTATCTTGTTCATAAAGAAAGAACAGCGTAGAAGTTGGGGGAATTGCTGAGTAAGGAAAGGTGCCAGAAGAGTCACTTGTAAACTCAATAGGGATTTGAGATGTTGTAAATGTGATGGAGCACTCGGGATATGAAGCTGCCATTAGCTTTATTTATACCTATTTACACTTAATTACTGACTGCTTTGCTCTGGTTACCTTCAACACTTTTGCAATTGGATTCTTTCCTTTTGGCTGAACTAAGAATAAAATGCATTTTAACACTTCTCACAGAATAGAGGTTTTTCTTCCAGACTTCTGAGTGGTAGATAAAAGACTGGTCTAAAAGTTGCAAGGATATTAACCTGTTGTCTACTGGCTAAGTTTTAATTTGGTTATTTATGATCTCACTTGCATGTAATTTACTATGGTTCTGACAGACTTTTACAGACTTTGTATGTAAAACCGAATTTGTCTCCTGCCCCTGGCTGGCTTGAGGTCAGTGATCTGCCGCCTTGGCAGAGGCTTTCTGCTTGGAGCACTCTCTGCTCCCACGCAGTGTTTCAGATGGCTGTGGGAGGGGAGCATGACCAGGGCTGGGGCAGAGACTGAGGAGACATTACAGCACGGTAGGGCTGAACATATCCCTTCCAGTAGAGTGGATGCTGATATGGAGGCAAGAGTAACTCTTTACAGCTTGGTGACGTCTTTGGTTACCTACTTCCTCCAACTGCAGTGTAACTGCCCGAAGCATTTCTTTTGGATGTCTTCTTGTCCTTGATAATCCCTGTGTCTGATCTTGTTCATTCTTCATACAGCACAGATATGCAGACAGTTATGTTAATCTGCCTGCATTATTCTAAAAAAATAAATAAATCACACTTAGGCGGCTACCTCATTTTCTAATGTGTCTAACTTAGCATCTGAGTTGTTTCTTCTTCAAATAAGCTCATTTTAGTAACAGACTCCGCATCACCGAATGCAGCATGATTCATCCATTGCGTTTTTCAGTTTTGCCTTCTCTTTAGTCTTCTGTCAAGTTAAAGTAAAGGAGTTTGCGTCCAGGCTTGCTGTTGGTTAGATAGATTGGTCTCAAGAAGTTGCTGTTCTGGCTACAGACCTCACAGATCTGTCTGTAGAGGGTATTACAGAGTGATGATTAGTAACTTCCTGCAGACTTGAGTGAGCCATCTGTGTTTCCACTCCTTGAAATGTGCTGTTATTTTCATCACCCATTTGGTTTGTGTCAGCTCAGTTTACATGGTCATTTTCACATAATAAACAGGTAGTTAAATTAGGCATACTGCATTTCCCAGTGCAGAGTGTAATTTTTTTACCTCTTGGCAAAGTGGACTACAGCTACTCTTATACGTAAGCAATTTGTGAAGGAGCTATAAGTGAAGCCTCGACCTTTTTAAATATTTGTAAGTACCTTCCACCTTTGGGGAATGGGAACATTTGAGTTATGATGAGACTAGAACAGCAGGGTGGTTAAAACTGCTGTGATTGAGAAAGATGAGGTGGTGTGTCTGGGATGCATGCCACCAGGAAGGCCTTGTATAAACAGCACAATAACTGTGCCCAAACTGCATCCTTCATGAGCTGATATTTTAATACTGTCTATTTTACATTAACTTAGGAGAAAGTGTTTTTCTTCTTGTATTCATGTAGGAAATGTGGAAATCAGCATGGTGCCCTTGCCTGCTGGGAGGGCAAAGGAGGAATCCTGTATGCCAGAGGGATGGTCATCAAAGGCTCAGTTCTTCAAACAATGCAGTGTGATGAAGTGACATTAACAAAAAAAGGCTTTATCTCCTATTAACGTACAAGTCTTTGTCATCAGTGTATCTTAACAAGACAGTTGGGACTTATTTATGGAATAGATTTTCAAGGAAGTTCTTAGGTCTGAAGCAGTAGTTTGCTGTGTGGAGAGAAGCTGAAATCCATTATATGGTTTAAGCCAGTAGTTCAGAAAACTGTTGATATGGAATGAAGCTGAAAGAGTAGTCAGATCTTTTGATAGTTAACTGTGCCAACTTCAGTTGTCCTACCTTTCATTTAGGTCGTCCCCAAAAAACATTAGAAAACTGCTATAGGAAGTCTTCATTGCAATTTTTTCTCTATATTCAATTTGTAGAATGATTACTATTATTTCAATAAAACCTTTTGGGGTACTACTCCATCTCGTTTTCAAGGTACTGGAGAGGGTGGCTCATGATGAAAATAATCCTGCCACTAGAACTTTGTTAGATTGTGGTACAGGACACAAATGTGCTTTCTGGGGGTGTTTTTTGTTTCTCCAAGTGGTAGAATGGTAATCTCTCTGAGTGCATGTGGGCTGGGAATCCCACAGCTGAAGCTGATGGGGTGCTGCAAGGTCTGGTGAGGCTGGGTGCCAGAAAATGGACGCAAGCCTGTGAAAACATTTCTGTTGCCATTTTATATTTCTGAGATTTGCTGTCCGGAGCTGTGGGCAGCCTGGTAGGTCTAATACTGTGTATGTTGGCAGGGTATGTGCAGTATAGGTCAGTGGATAGATTGCAGTGAGGATTTAGGGCTGAGGGCTGCCAAGTGCTCAGTGCGGGAGATGGGAGGAAGCCTGGTGGATGGGCAGTTGCATGTTAGAAAAGGAAAAGAAGGAATTTTCAAACGGATACTTGACTTTGGTGGCCTTTGGATGGGAGGCAGGGAGATTCAGGATTTCAGAGGTTAGACAGAGGCTAACCCCTGGGTGATTGTTTATACCTACTATGAAAAACTTTATGGTATGTACTGTGTGCAAGAGACTGGCTGGTGCTGCCACGAGTGGGTGGGACATCCGAGGCCCTCCCTGGTGTTAATACCTCCTGATTAAACCTGCTGCCAGCACCTATCATCAAGTCTCTGCTGTTTTCTTACAGTGCTCTGCCCAGGTGACAGAAGCAAACCACCTGCATTTCCAAACGTGTAAGATAAACTGCTGTTTTCATTATCAGCTAGATTGGTTTCACTCTCTTGATGTGATCCTTTTTTATTTCATGAACAGACAGTTA